AGTAGCTGGGATTATAGGTGCGAGCCACCACACCCAGCTAATTTTTGTATTTTTAATAAAAACAGGGTTTCCCCATATTGGCCCAGGCTGGTCTCAAACTTCTGACCTCAAGTGATCTGCCTGCTTTGGCCTCCCAAAGTGCAGGGATTACAGGCATGAGCCACCACGCCCAGTCTAAAAAGCACTTTTTTTTTTGAGACAGAGTTCCCCTCTTGTCACCCAGGCTGCAGTGCAATCTCACTGCAACCTCTGCCTCCCAGGTTCAAGAGATTCTCCTGCCTCAGCTTCCCTAGTAGCTGGGATTACAGGCACCTGCTACCATGCCCGGCTAGTTTTTGTATTTTTAGTAGAGACAGGGTTTCATCATGTTGGCCAGGCTGGTCTTTCCTGATCTCAAAATGATCCACCCACCTTGGCCTCCCAAAGTGCTGAGATTACAAGCGTAAGCCACCCTGCCCAGCCTCTAAAAAGCCCTTTCTAAGGAACCTTGGAGTTGTTCCTCAAATAGCTCAACCCTGCAAGCCAGGCTGGTCCCAGCACCCCTACCAGACAGCTAGTCAGTGAGAAGGGTCCAACTTCCCCCAGCTTTTCCCTGGAAGTGGGGTGGGGTCAGCAGGGAATTCTGGGGGTGATGCTCATAGTCCAGGAGCCTTCTGATGCCCAGAGGGTAGAGGAGGAGTGGAAGGCCTGGGGGTACTCAGCCCCACTGTATCCTGGACAGGCTAGGCCGACTTGCAGGCTGGTCCCCATGGAGGCTCAGAAGGAAAGTGTGCAAGAGCAGGTCAGGAAGGGAAACCAACTCAGGGAAGGGCCCCAGCCGGGGCTAGTGGTCCATTCACTGCCCAGCAGGTACTCAGCAGCACCCCGCAGCACTCCGCTTCACGTGGCACGGCTTGCAGAAGAGACGGTTGTTCAGGGGGTAGCAGCCTTGGTCCGTGGGCTCAACAGACAGGAGGATCCTGCAGTCCTGAGGAGACAAAGACACATGTGGACCTGCCTTGGGCCTGGGCGCTGCCTGTACAGGGGAGGGACTCACTCAGCGTCTGCCGAATAAACCAACTACATGAGTGGATGTACTCCCTAAGCGGGAGGAAGGAGGATGCTCGTTGCTGCCCTCCCAACACCTGGCCAGGTCTCCATCAGGGAAGATGAGACACAGGCACACAGGGAGGCTTTAATCCACATGGAGGTGCTGGAGAGGACATTCACCGACAGGAGAACCAAGGACACCTGAAGAAGTCCCCTGAGCGTTCAGGAAAAGCTGGGGCTAGAAGGGCCTTAATAACCCCTTCATTATTTTTTAAAATGTGTTTTTATTATTTATTTTGAGACAGAGTCTTGCTCTGTCGCCCAGGCTGCAGTGCAGTGGCACGATCTCAGCTCATTGCAACCTCTGCCTCCCGGGTTCAAGTGATTCTCCTGCCTCCTGAGTAGCTGGGATTACAGGCATGCGCCACCACACCCAGCTAATTTTTGTATTTTTAGTAGATACGCAGTTTTGCCATGTTGGTCAGGCTGGTCTTGACCTCCTGACCTCAAGTGATCCGCCCACCTTGGCTTCCCATGTTGGGATTACAGGTGTGAGCCACTGCGCCCAGCCTCAACAGTCCTTTTAGAACATAAGTTCTGCGAGACAGGAACCCTGTTTATGGCCAAGTCCCCAGCCCACCCCAGCACTGGCAGCTATGGGTATCTGCTGATGAGTGTCTGGTCCAGTCCCTTCATTTCACAGGAGGGATACCAAGGTCCAGGGAGGAGTAGGCTCTGCCCCAGGTCACACAGCTGGTTCTGGAGCTGGGACCAGACCAGCACAAACATTAATATTTTCCTTTTCTTTTTCTTTTTTTATTGAGACGGAGTCTCACTCTGTTGCCCAGGCTGGAGCGCAGTGGCGC